ATTCACATGATTCGATTTCCCCAGTTATCTTCTGGTTATGACATGCATTTGGTCTGATAATTTCTATTCAAAACTAACTTGTTATTATTTATAGTGATTATTATTTATTAAGAATAATTATTAAGGATGCTTATTTATTAAAGAAGACGCATATATAATTGTTAGTGTTGTATGTACATTTGAATATAAGGATATTAACAATGAATAATTTTTGTTTAAGGGGTGTGGAAGATAAAGGAGATGAGTCATAATCATTAGATTATGGATATACTCTCGTTAAAACAACAATATAAAGAATGAGAAATATTATATTACTCATTAAAATCAAAATAAATCTCAGATAACAACTTAAATGAAAAATCATTTAAGTCGAGCATGATTGAAAAAACTTTATTTGAATAGAAATAAAGCATAAATAAGAAACTGATTTGCTCACTTCTCAACATAATGAAAAACATAAAGATGAGATTAATCATAATTAATCCATTATATATTTTAATGTATTTTTGAATATGACATATGCTTGTTTCATTATTAATTTTATACAATTTATTATGTTGAAGTAATTAATAGAAATACATATTATATTTGTTTAATCAATACGTGAAATAGAATTAAATAGTAAATAACATTAAAATATAATTCGTTAATATAATATCAGTATTTCTCAGTTGAGTAGAACATAAAATACACAATGACTATTACATTTAGAATGATTTAATAATAAAATATCATATTATCATCACATTCTTATATATTATGACTTAATAATTTCATTAATTACATTTAATCCATCATCTACTCTGAATAAACCAAAATCAAAACATCTCTATTGTGTTTTTGAAAAAATACAATCCATTGAAGTAAAGTATTGTTAAAATGTTCTAAATTAAGTTAATTCGTTTTTTGCTTTTATTGAATAATTGGTTTTCTTTTATTTTTATTTGTTTGTTGTTGTGGTGTTATTATTAACATCATATTAACATTACATAATTTTTTTACATTATTGTTTGAATATATTTCAAATGATAAAAATGAAAATATTATTATTTATAACATTACATAAAAACGATACAAAACGATTAAAAATAAATTGAATCACAACATTTTTATTTGATTTTGTAAGTTATCATGTTCTAGATTATTTAGACATCATTCTTATTTTTATTTCTTTACTCCCTTTCTTTATTTAAACAAAATCATATAATCGTTATTTCATTAATAAACATGGGAGATTGGTATGTCAAAGGTTCAAACCTTGAAGGAGAACACGGATTAGTTGAACAAAGAAATTGTCCACAAGGAAGACCTTTTTGCCATCAACTTATTGATGAATGTATTAGAGAAGGAAGAACTTTACATGTTCATCAACAGGATTGGCAGATAAACTCCTTCACTTATGAGAAACTCTAAACATTCTCTAATTTACTTTTATCTTTTTTATTTTATTCTTTCTTATTTTCAGATTCTATTCTATTTTTCTTATATAAAAATTATTTGTTTATATTGAATAACTTAACTTCTCATTCTATTATTTTATTTATTACATTTTATATTTTATTTCATTTCTCAACTTCATCACTAAACATTAAAACAAGAGAATGAAAAGATAAATAAATTTAATATCGAATGATGTTTATCATATAATTTATAAATAAATATATCGCATAACATAATAGGGGGTAATGTAAATTAATAAAATAATCGTTTGGGTTTATTCTTTTATTTTTTATTTTAAAATAATAACAACGATATGAAAATAAAAATATGAATAAAGTTTCAAATATATGTAAAATAATAAAAGGGGTATAAAATAGGAAAGAGGTAATAAATACGATAAATATGAATAATATGAATTAAAAAGAAAATGATAACTTGATAATTCAGAACAAATGCTTACAAAACACTCTAATACAGAAAGAATGAAAAGAAGTGCAGAATTAGCTTATCTCAAAGAATATTATCCACAAAATTTAGTTCAATTTCATAAAATAGGTGTAAAACTTCAAAATGCACCAGAAAATGAAAATGAAGTTGTTGTTGAACCTGATGTACATTTTCAAATTGATGGAAAAGAATATCTTGTTTTTTTCAATAACCATTTAAGGGAAATAAATACAGTTTTAAATCGTTGGTTAGAAATTGAATTTTCAGAACATGGGTTTATTATGCCAGATATTATTAAAATGTCTGTTAAACGAGTTGCAGAAAAAGGAAAAACAGATAACATAGTCATAGGATTTTTAAAAGGAGCAGGTATTGGTTTAATTCCAGGATATGGACTATACCAAGGAATCAGAGGTTGGGGTTGTAATATATTTCCAACTTTAGTATCTTCAAAAGCAAAAGAAAATGAAGATAGAATTTATCGACTAGCACATCATGTTTATAAAACAAAAGAATTAATTGAAAAATATGGAAGTGAAATACAATCAGGTAAAATATGTGCTATATGTATTGAAAAGAGTTTCAATGGGAAGAGTGAATATATAACAGATTGTGATAATGAATTATATCAAGATGTGGAAGCAATTCTTTATAAAATAATGTCATCTTACGAAAAAAGTAAAGATGAAAAATTGAATGATTTAAATAGATTTTTGTATGGGTGTGAGAAAAAGATTCAACCAACAGTAGATGAAATTAGAAGAATGGAGTTTTGTTTTGTAATTAATAGAGTGAATTCATATCTTACAAGAGAAGAAGAATTATTAAGCGACAAATCATATGAAGAATTAAAAACAATGACAAATCTTAGGAGAAGATTGAATCAGCTTGCTATTAAATACAAACATTTGTATTTAACAAATACACAAATTCTTCTTGGAATTAGAATAAGTCGATGTAAAATTCTTGTTGATAATAGAAAATGTAAAACAATATTTATTGAAAGTTCAAATGTGAGAGAATTTTATAAAAAGATTAATAAAAGGTTAGATGCAGAAGTACAGATTCTTACAAACAAATATTCATTCAGTGAAATTCCAATTGAAAAGATTATAGAAACAGCACAGAGTTTAAACCTAGATAACATTCAAGATTCAATAGATAAACTGAAAAAAGAAATTAATGAAAAAAAAGAAGAAAGAGAAAAGTTATTGGGAAATGCAGCAACTGAAGTTGGAAAAGTAATCATACAGAAAGTAGAAGATATATCAGATATTGCTGTTTCAATTTATAATATTGGTTCATTAATACAGCAATTTAATAAAAAAGAAAATACTAATCCACCAAAAATTGAAACAAATAGTAAAGAAAATACAAATTCAAATGAAGAACAAAAAGATGTTAAAAAAGAGAATACTAATCCACCAAAAACTGAAACTAATAGTAAAGAAAATAAAGAAATAATTCAATCATCTAATACAAACAAACAAATTAATTCATTACATTCACTTGCATTAAATAATACATCACTTGGAATAGCATTAAAAGTTATCAAACCTACTCCAGAACAATTAGATAAATTACATTCGTCATTTAATAATTTTGTTGAGGCACAAAAATTAACATACGAAATTGAATCATTTAAAGAACAATTAAGTGTGTTAGAAAAAGTTCAAGAATTATCAAATGATTTTATCAACTTACTCAAACTTAACATAGAATTGCAAAGAGAGTGGTTATTTGATGAGATTGATATTAATGAATATTTAGGAATTATTGTTACAGAAGATAATAGATATGTTGTTAATCCACGAACTAATTCTGAACGTAAATCTAATCATAAAATATATGAAATAGAGAAAGTACTAAATTATAATGAAGGAAATGAAGAATATTGATCAAAATGATAATTTGATTTTATTTTAATGTTTTTAATGTTTATATTTTCTATAAATTGAAATAAATAACAATGAAATAATGAACTATAATTATAATTATTTTCACACATTTTGTATTATTTATTTTGAATATATGGTTAATTAAAATTATGTTTTATTCTTTTTTATTTCATTTCAAACAAATATAATATATGAAATATGAAAATATTATTTCTATCATACAAATTGTCATTCAGTTAATTTTTATTTATTTGTTCGTTATTTCCTCCTTTATTCATTGTTATTTTATTAAACAAAAAATACTTTTTAAATTATTCTTTCTTCAATTAAAGAATTAATGT